ACTTCCCAGACTTGTTCAAGAATAATACTCAGCAAAATTACCTCTTAATGCTTTTTCATCATTATCTAAAGCTGTTCGTAAAGCAGTTACATCAAATGCATCAGGTCCAGTCAGAACAGCTGGATATAAATCAGGATACTCATTTTGTCATTTTTCTACTAAACCTAAAATACTTCTCAAGAATAACACTTCTTTGTAACTCTTAACTCTAGATTTATTATTGATTTCATTAAAGGCATCCTTCAAACCTTGCATTTTCCCCTCTCTAGCTGTTTTTTCTAATTTTTTAACATTATTAAGTTCTTGTTGAGCTTTGGATACTTTAGAATCTAAGGAAGATAGTTCAATAAGTTTTTTGCCTATTTTTTCTTTAATAGGAGTAAAACTATCTATTCTAGCCTGAGCAAGCTGTTCCATTTCATCTCATAAATCAATAATATTCCTGTTAACTTCCTTGTCTTTAAATTTAACTGGAGTTGGGGAATTCCATGTTGTTCTGCCTTGTGCATCAGCTCATTTCACTAATTGATCATAAGTAGTTTTCTTCAGCTCTTCTTTAATAGGTTGTCAAGTACCAATTACTGCATTTGTAACTTTTTCAAGAACTGACTGCCATTCAGTTACATGACTATCAAATTTAAATTCAGGTTTACCATTAGCATCAAGAAAAGTACTAAATCTATCTTTGATTAATTCTTCAGCATGCTGTCAATAGGAATTTCCATGTAAATAAACAAGATGATGACGCATTGGATAAACATCTAAATCTTTTTCAAAGTGAGACATTGCTTCTTTTCGCATTTCTTTTGCTGCATTCACTGCCAATCCATTTATAGTATTTCCATCTTTGTCTAAAATTTCTTCATAAGCAGTAAAATCAGTTGCACTTGGATCATTGTAAATTTCTCAAAAAATTCTCAACAATCCTCCATCTGCTCAAGCTAATCTTCATATTTTACTATGTAATTCAATATTTAATACATTATCTTGAGGAAATGGCTTATCTCTAATGTCAGCATCACGCCCTAGTCAAACAATCTCAAACTTTTTATCTAAACTATAACCATCTTTGAAAGGCAAACAATTAGTATTATCTGTTTGAAGAAATTCATTAGTTGATCAATCAACAGTATCTTGAGGAAAAAGTTTATGCATAAAATAAAGAAGATCACTAAA